TAGTACATAAATGCTACATACGCTTAACTTGTTGAGCGAGTTATAAAACCCTTACTAGCAACCGCCTTTGTTGGAATACTTGCCAATTGGTCCTCAGACTTTACGAATGCACTGAATAATTTGGTACTCCAATCTCTCCTAATGAAATATTTGTCCACTTCAACATGCTTGGTACGATTATGTTGAATTGAATTACGTGCAATATCAACAACTATAGAGAATCATTGCAAATCCCCGGAGCAAATCCTAATTCAGTAAGCAATCTCTTAAACTAGAACAATTCACATAATTCATTTGTCATGCCCAGTGGCGAAGCCAGGAATTGGCGAGGGAATAGGCGGATTTAAAAGGGTGCAAGGTTAAAGAATTATGGAGACAACCAAATCATTTTAGATGGTAGAAAATATTAATGACGTTCATAATTTATCAATATTAATTACGAATTGTGACACTATGATGAACTTAGTGAAAACAAATTCAAATTCTTGTACTCTATGACAAATTTAATAATTGAGTACATACATGTGGTTTAGTCGGCTGTACATATGTAATGGGTGCATACAGAGGCGGAGCCACAGTGGGGTCAATGGGGTCGCACGACCCCTTGGAAGCCATGGAAATAACCTTAGAGGTCCCTTGGAGCTGCTGGTGCGACCCCTTGGAGCTGCTATTGCGACCTCTTGGAGCTGCACACCACGTGTTCGATGAAATGTCTGAAAGAAGAAAAAGACTTCGGTTGCAGGTTGAAGAAGAAGGAAAGGCGTGCGCGCGAGAAGAAAAAGACTTCGGTTGCAGGGTCTGTGTAGAGTTTCGTTGTGTGCACCTCGTTAGTTTCATAGTTGTAAGCCTGGCTCTTTCCTTATCATACTGTTCGTACTTGCAAAGTTTGCATTTTTTTTCAATTTGAGATCTAAGATTACATTGATGCTGATTAGTTGTGGTATTTTTGGTTGTCAGGGAAAGTGAAGGCACCTTTCAGTATGGTAACTATCAGCGAGAGGCTGATGACTTGCACTCTGTGGTCGAATACTTCTCTAGGGCGAAACGTGCACCCAGGGCAATTCTTGGACACAGTAAAGGTAACGTTGGATTGTTTTGCACAATCGTTGTGTGAGATTTTACTCTCATAAAATAGAGGACAAGGATTTCCTTCTAACTGCAAGAAGGAAGGATGCCCGCAATGTCAAAATCAAGAGGACCAAGGATGCTGTCAAGTTCAAGGTTCGGTGCTCCAAGTACCTTTACACACTTTGTGTGTTTGATTCCGAGAAGGCCGACAAGTTGAAGCAATCTCTTCCTCCATGTTTGAACGTTCAGGACCTTTGAACAAGGATTTTGGAGTAGCTGGTCGCGCTATCCTACCAAGACCCGATGAAATGACGATATGCATGCCGTTTCTGTTAAAAAAAAATTTCGCGCTGCACGCGCTATCCTTATTGACTCTCCAAACATTATTTCCTGGATCCGCCACTGGGTGCATATGTATGTCGAATATGTAAAAATGTAACCATATTGATGATGTGCAATTGTTTTAAATTAAGACATATAGTGGGTTGAAGAAAAAAGACCTTATCTACCAAAGCGTAAACTAATATTTAACTAGCTAGCATACATAAAAGAAAAGAAGACTGGATACACTAATTAATAATTAATTAACCTTTCTTATTATCTTTGGATGTCTCAGTTTCAACGGAGGAGGAGACGAGAATAACAGAGCCAAACAGAAGGCCTTGAAGAATCAAAGCCTTGAAAACCTTTCCTAATTCTCTAACTCTTGTGCTAACTGTCAGTTTCGATTCTAAAATGCTAGCACTCATGCATAAGAGTTAGAGAATCATAAAAGAAAAAAAAAATTAGAATGAAATCAGTTCCGACTCAAAAGGAAAAATCAAAGTCTTGAAATGAGCTCCTATTCTATATTGAAATTATTAGGAAAGTTCTGGCCTTGAAATCTTTTAAATCCCACGAGAAAGAAGACTACAAGGATGTTAATTGTCAATGATAAGTCCTTGACGATCACGTGCTACTAAACGACAAACAAAGCAAGGTCTCCTGCTATCAGTTTTTAATAGAAACTAAACTCACCATTCTACTTAAAAAAAAATTATTTGCCCAAAAAATTTAGGCCAAATTAGATAAATGATTCATGTGGTTATAAGGTATTTGGAAGATAACCCTTGTGCTAAAAAGAACTTGGATTTAAACTCCTGTGTGTACTCCGCTAACAAATTTAATTCAAAAGTCTATCTATTAATACATGTGTAAAATTGTACTTTGACATGTGCCTCTTCCCCATCTCTCTGCTCTCTCTGTAACACATCCCCACCAATACCGCTTGAAGCAGGTTACTGAGACGCTGCTCCTTCACCTCAACCGGCAATAAATCATCAATCTATTTCTCAATATCAAATACTGTCTCATCAACTGGTGCATCCAATAATTTCCCATACTTGAAGCTGCCTGGATGGTTGATTCTATTAATTCATTTAGTCCCTGCAATACAAAAGTGTTTCAATTAAAGCACGATGATCACCTGGTAATTAATATCATCAAATGTTCTAAACTACAGCCTTCTTGCCATTGCAAATCAAAGCCACAGGTTTATTCAAAAAATTTGAAAATCAAAATATATATTCTTGTCATACTCGAGATGAGGCCTCCTAGTAAACCAAAGGCGTCTGCATCTGTCGATAGGCATCTTGCATATTTCCATACAGTTCGATAAACAAAAGGTTTTGTGTGATTACCTGGTGTTTAAGAGTAGCTAAACTCTTTATATGCGTTGGAGACTGTGGGATGACTCCATTTGATGGAGGAATTCCTAGCAGACCACACATTAAGGTCTGCCATGAAAAAGCTCCAATGATATAGAGGACTGGAACATTGAGCATGTCCTGCGAGAGGACAGTCTTTCAAGCCTTTCAATTCTTGCTGTTCGTAGAAAGCAATGAGAGGCCAGTCTTGAAGCTTCCTGCTGATCTCAATGACGGTTTCTCAGAATTGGTTTTGTGAAAATTCAAATTACAGAGAGAGCAGAGAGACGAGGAAGAGGTCACATGTCAAAGTACAATTTTACCCATGTATTAACAGATAATTAACGAAAAAATTACTTATGGGCTAAATTTGATAACGGACCAGGGTTTTTAAATCCGAGTTTCTGAATACGATCATTTTTCCAATTTGGCCAAAAATTTATTGGCCTGGGTTTGAAAATTGAAAACAGAAACACAGCAGCACTGGGCTCTATTGCAGAGCACCAAAAACCAGACAACCAGACGGGATTGCTCACTTCCGACGGGACCAGAGGGGCGGTTCCAGGAACCGCCCCACCAAGTAGCTTCGCCCTTGGTCATGCCTCTATACTCAGCTTCTGCAACTATATCGAGTCACTGTTCTAAAAATCGGGCTAAGCGCTAGGCTCACTGTTCTAAAAATGGGCTCAGCTCTAGGCAATGGCTAACTGCCGCTATTTTGCCGTAGGCATTTGGACAATTGGAAAAAGAATTAGGCGGCCGCCTAGACGGTTTAGGTGGTCCAGGCGGTGCATGCGGTTCGGTTATTTCTTCTTTTTCATAGCGACTACTTCAGTTTCAGACGGAGAAAAAAACACAGCTTTTTCTGTCTCCGCTGCTCTTTCTCTGCGTCCATGTGGAGAGTCGATACATTTGCGAATATGGGAGAGAGAAAGAGAGGGAGGAGTCGGGACATCGCAGGATGCGGGTGACGGCGAACATGATTTTGCCAAGGATAGCTTTTTTGAAGTCAGGTGAAACTTTTGATTGAGACAAGGCCCACTCTTCCAAACAAATGATTTACATGGGCTTGGAAAACATTACAAGCCCAACATAAATGAGCTCTAAAATAGGAAAAATCAACACGTACACATATTTCATAATATATGTTTACATATAGGGCTTGTTTGAAATGTTTTTAAAATAACTAAAAGCGTTTTTTGTCCAAATATTTTCAAAATCAATATTTAGTAAAAATTTAAGTGAATCCTAAAAAAACCAACACTTTAAGTGCTTTTTAGAAGAAACACCAGATCTGTGCGTCTTGTAGAGAGAGCACTTAAAGTACTTTTGAAACCCAAAATCAATTTTATTTTAAAAGTATTTCCAAACGAGTTCATACACATCATTATTTATTAAAGGTGATGATCAAAAATGGTCATATGCTTTAAGACTCTGACCATGCCATATGAGACTTGCCGATCTTTTACAATTTAGTGCGTATCAATTGTCTCATTGCCGATCTTCGAGCAGCTAAACTTGGAGTTGAACAGCACGGTCCTCCAATCGAGCAGCTCGAGGGTGTGAGTGTCACACTTCCAATGGGCTTCAACGCCCCCTCCTTTCTTAGGAGAAATTTTTAATTGTGACGGAAATACGAATGGTATATTACGTGTTTTTATATAAGTGGTGAAAAATTTTAATTTTTAAGTTATTAACATTTTAACACATATAACTTACTATTTATATAGAGACACGTGTTGTACCATCTCGTATGACAGTCACTGAAAAATCTCTCATTTCTTAATTATTCTACTTCACGGAATGGACTCTATCGTTAGTCATTGGTGATGGCTAATAAAATCAATGATTAAACTATTCAATTTATTAATCTTCATTTAAATATTAGTTTTACAAAAAATAATTATGTGAGAGATCATTCAATCAGTCAAATATATCACATAAATTGATGATTGATTATAAAGATATTACTTGGTTATTACCCTGCCAATTTGTATTACATTAAAATATCAAAGGATCTTCGGTTGAAATGATTCTTGCAGGAATAATTTTTTTGAATGTATCACATAAATGGATGATTATAAACACAGATAGGAACACTCGGGAAGCAGTGAAGCCATGGGCAATAGCTCAAGCATTTTCCAATTGACACGAACTAATCGACGTGGCCATCCAGGTGAACACGTGTCGACTCCTCTCGCAACGCAGTACATGTCAAGCACCTAAGCGCCACGTCGCACACCAACAACAAGTGCCAATTTCGTACACAACCCCAACCCTTCGCTCCCACCGTTGTTTTGCGACACTGAGCAAACAAAGAAAACCCTCACCCATTTGTTTGTGATTTTAAAAAGCAAGAAATCATCGTATTATTCGTGCTTACGCAGAAATCAAAACCCAGAAAATGATGAACTTTGTGGCTCTGTTCCTTGTTGTGACTTCACTGGTAACCGCTGGGGTGTGGTTTCCGTCTGCCAGCCCACCAAGTGATCAGACCCAGCAGCAGAAGCAGAGGCAAGAAGGTCCTCAGCAGCAGCATGCTAGGGATCAGGAAGTCATTGTCAAAAATGGGCACAGGGTGGTTGTCGTGGAGTACGATGAGCATGGCCACCACAAAACCAAAGTCTCAATCTCGCCGGAACACGGCCATCCACCCCGCAGAGAGTCTTCTTCCTTCTCCGAAAATGAAGTATCGTCGCCCTCGAAGATTTCTAGGGCTTTCGACAACTCCATGGAAAACATCAAAGAAGCGGCCTCTGGTCTCGCTAACTTTGGCCAAGGCCATGGCGAGGGTCACAGTCCGAAAGAGCTCATGTGCGATGCCTACGGAAGATGCAAGCACAACATTGCAAGTGCTATCGAGACCAAAAAGGAGATTTGTAAGGAGACAGCACACGGGGCAAAGGAGGCGGCGCATAAGGTAGGTGAGGCGGCACACAGGGCAGGCGAGGCGGTCGAAAATGTGTACGAGAGGGCGAAAGATACGGTGTCGGATAAGGCGCACGAGGTTGAGGAAACTGCTAGAGACCCAATGGAAAAAGCAAAGAACGCCTCCAAGACGGCCAAGGACATGGGGGACACGTTGGCGGAAAAAGCAAAAGAAGCTAAAGAGACCGCGGAGGAAGCAGCTTTTAAGGTGAAGGCTGGAGCGGAGGAGCTCAAAAGTGACTTGGCTGAAAAAGCGAAAGAAGCGAAAGAGACTGCGGAGGAAGCAGCTGGTAAGGTTAAGGCTGGAGCGGAGGAGCTCAAAAGTGGGACCCAGAAGAGGCTGCATCAGTCGAGGGACAAAGTAAGAGAGTTCTGGTACGGTGCATTCAGGTCCATAGCATCGGGTGACTTACTGGAGGGTTTGATGTCCGTGGCGCATCTATTCGGGCTGGCTACGGCTTACGGAATGTGCATGTGGATTACGTTCGTGTCGAGCCACGTGTTGGCGTGGAGTCTGCCGCCGCAGCAGTTTGGGATGGTACAGAGCAAGATTTACAAGGTTTATTTCAAGGCCATGGCGTATAGTGTTGGGATGGCATTGTTGGGTCATCTGTGGAGACATAGAAGCTCATTGTTTCGAGGGAAGGCGGCGGATATGTTGCAGAACTATAATCTTATCGCTGCTCTTTCCATGATCTTATTCAATATGATGTACTTGGAGCCTCGATCCACTAAGGTAATCGTCAACAAAAAATTATATAGAATCATATATAAGTTGTATGTCTGGTGTTCATATACTATATTAATGGCATGCTTGTATCGACCACTAGCTTTTTATTATTTTGTATTTCGGAATCACGGTACAATTAGTGCTCTGATATTCTTATGATTTTATCCTGATGTAGATTGTTTTGATATAATTACTTTGTTTATGCCGTGATATCGTTCGGAGGATTTTGTCTTCCAGCAGATTTGGCTCTGGTGTGTGCCATTCCCTGATCCCCTTCACAGGCATGATTGTTAATCGTCAATACGTTCTTGGTCATCTGTGTTTATAGTTCGACATGAGCACTTGAAACAATTCGCGAGTCTGGAACCCTATATTTTTCACAGTTTGTGCATTATAATTGGGGGCCATCAGCATAGTTCATTGCGTTGAAGGTCTTTCTGCTTTTCTATTATTGTTACTGATACAATGACAAGGATTTCTATAGCTACTAGGCATACTTTAAAATTGCCTTGTATGTTAATTACTCGGCGTTTTGGATGGAATTTGGCTGTCCGTGTTTCCTTGTTTTTTAGCAGCTCTGCTAAACTCGCCTTCATTTTCAGTCTTGTTGCAGTGTTCCAAGTAATTTCATTTATGCTCTTGCGCGTGTGCTTGGTCCGTGTGTATTTGCTCTCATTGCATAGAATGTGCGTGCAGGTGATGTTTGAGAGAATGAAGATCGAGAAGGAAGAAGGAAGAGGAAGAGAGAGAGTACATGTTGATGCCAGAATCAGCAGGGAGGCTGGCCAGCAGCAGCAGCAGCAGACTACCACTGAAGGCGAACCCTCAATCACGACGCCTCCACAAGTCTCGAGGAGGGAGCAACAGGTGGTTGAGCCTGATATTGAGAGGCTTAACGAGATGCGTGAGAGCCTGAAGAAGCTAAATACATGTTCGTCGTTCCTCAACATCGCGTCACTAATGGCTCTTAGCTGGCATCTTGTGTATCTTGCCCAGCACCTCCCCAGTTCATGCTGTTGATAAGGACTTGGATTCGGAGAATCTCTTTGCTTGTCGCAGATAATTATTTGTTTGTAAAGTTGATGTTTTTGGTAACTTTCGATATGATACTTGTACCATAGCTGTAATGAAAGATATGGAGTCAGACTGCTGCACTTGTTCTTATGTGAAGTTACATGAATTAACGCTGGCTACATCTTCTGTGTTTTTCCTTTCTTTTTCGCCTGGATGAGGGTATCCGATCCTTCATCTTAGTCCAGATTCTAACACAGACTGCGTGTGAATGAATCAACACCCTAAACTAACAAGGTTCTCCGCATTGCGAGGGTTGGGTAACGTCTATCGTAGGCAGTCTTACTTCATTTTTGCAAATGGGTTGTTTCAACATATTTCACCGAGGAGCAACATGTTCATAACGTCAAGGCTCACTCTCATTTAGAATCATTCTTGGATCGATCCCGTTTGGTAACCAAATAAAAGATGTTGAGATGTGTCATTGACCAAAAGAATGCTTGTTTTGCTGAACCAAAAAGTTGGCTCATGTGTAAGGAATGCAAACATCAAAGAATCTGTACCTTCTCAGTGAACCTTCTACTGTAAAAAATCTAATAGAATCTGTCAAGCATTTTGAAATATCCCTACAAGAAAGGACTAGCCTTCGATCATTTGAAGCCGTTAGTTCTTCCATAGAAGGTGACGAAGCTTCGGAATGAACATGGGCATACTGTGTGATCTTACGAGTGATTCGTCCTTGTAAGCCGTTAAAAGTGTCATAATACTGTTTAAATTACGCATCGAAGCATAAATTATCTTAACCTAAAACACCTTTGCTATGAGCATAACTGAAAGATGAAAACTACGTTTATTAAACGAAAATACAAGTACATTGGGACAATGCACTATGCTCTCTGCTCACAAGGTTTATTTTGAATTGGTTGAATTACTATACCTCCAGACACCAAATTAGCCTTGGTTGTCGTCAACGACTCCCACCCTCTCATCAGAATCAACTCCCGCATCAACTTGGTTGCGCCCCACATAGCAACACAAGATACAACAGAAGACCTTCACATCAGAATCAACTCCCGCATCAACTTGGTTGCGCCCCACATAGCAACCCAAAATACAACAAAAACCTTCACAAACTTAAACTCGTAAACCATGATAACAAACAACAAAAAAATCATAACCTCAAGCAGTATAAACCAGACCGCCGTTACCGCCACATCTTATGGCCCTAAATAAAAGTTGAGACAATCGTAATTAAACTAAGTGACAAATGTATGAATTTAACAATTGTTATCCACAAATGTTTTATTCAATTCATGGCTAAAAAGAAAGATACGTGGCACATCTCTTGACCAATCGTAATACTATATTAGAAAAACAAGATAAAGAATAAAAATAACACATAAAAAGACAAACAAATCGTGGTCAACTTCCTTGTCGTTTTGATTGACTAGTGTTTTCCTCTTAACAAATTAGTTGGGGCGCACCTGCCATTCACCAACATTATTTCTCTTCAGTTGAATTTCTGTTCTCAATCACTTCAAATTGCGGCACAAAACGCGATACACAAGCAAATCATAACCAAGGTATAAAATATAGATGATATCGGAAATATTGGTAATCTAAAAATACGGAAATTTCGATGGAAATATCGGGATATTATCGATATCGATAAAAATTGAATAAAAACCACGGAAATTATAAGAAAAACTTAAAAAAATTTATTGAAACTTTGCAGGATATTTATTTAGTCAATTATCTAATAGTTTATCACAAAAAATTGGAAGGAAATGCATTGCATGATGGATTTAATTGATTTAAGTTGATTATATAGTGAGCTGGGAAACATTGTGAGTGTAGAAAATATGTAGTAATTAATGAAAGATGTTTAAACACACCGTAATCATTTATATATAATGAATTAGTACAATCTTTTATACTTTATACATTTCATGGTAAGATACATGAGTGACTTAATACCACATAGAGTTCCTATCAAGGTCTAAAATATCGATGATATCGGAAATATCGGTAGTCCAAAAACACGAAAATTTCGATGAAAATATCGGGATAATATCGATATTTAGACCTCGATCATAACCACCACCAGCAGTAGCAGCTGCCGCCATGGGAGACGCCATTGTGCTGTACGCAGCTCTAGGGATGGGGCACATCATGTTTTGATTATGGGTAATAAGCAGAAGTTACAAGAACTTTGGAAGATGGTTCGATCCACTCATATCCGAAATTAAAAATAAAAAAATATTTTATTATTTTATAAACAAATTCATATTTTAATATGAATTGCCTGAATTATTCAGTTTAGAGGTGAAAATGCATTTTGGTAGTTACTGTTCACTGCCTTCCTCAATAACTTAGAGAGTAATAGTCCATAGATAATTTAGAGGTGTAGTTACTCTTAGTAAAAAGATTGGATTGGAATAATTTAATAATTACTTTAAGGTATATTAAAAAATGAAAATAAAAAAATTGACCAACTTAAAATGTATGGGTTATGTAACTTATGTTTAGTTACGCTTTATAGAATTTAATTTTGATAATACGCTCAATGTAATTCAAAAATCACAACTTTACCCTATGAAAATTAAAATTTGTTCGATTTTACTATGTTTTTATTTTTTTATTTTCTTTCTGATGTGGATGGGTAAAAATGTAATATCATAGGTTTAATTTGGCTACGCTTCATAAAACTCGGTTTGATCACACTTCATCCACTAAAACTCAATTTAATCCTCCCTTCTCTAGAAACTCGATTAGCTCTTATGTTTTCACATTTTTAATTGGTCGATAGAACTTTCATTACAACCAAAATTAGTTTAAGGCCCAAAATGAACCTGATAAACAACAGATAAAGTAAAAGGTCAAAGTAAAGTGAGAATAGCAACCCAAGATACAACGGGAGACCCTTACAAACTTAATCAGTAGGCTGCAATAATAAATAACAAAAATACTCTAATCTCAAACAACATAAATCAGACCATCGCTGCCGCCGCATCAAAATAAGGCCCAAAATGAACCCGATAAACAACAGATAAAGTAAAAGGTCCAAGTAAAATGAGAATAGCAACCCAAAATACAACGGAAGATCCTCACAAACTTAATCAGTAGGCTGCAATAATAAAAACAAAAAAGACTCTTATGTTTTCACATTTTTAATTGGTCGATAGAACTTTCATTACAACCAAAATTAGTATAAGGCCCAAAATGAACCCGATAAACAATAGAGAAAGTAAAAGGTCCAAGTAAAATGAGAATAGCAACCTCAAATGCAACGGAAGACCCTCACAAACTTAATCAGTAGGCTACAATAATAAATAACAAAAAAAGACTCTTATCTCAAACAGCATAAATCAGATACGTGGCACATCTCTTGACCAAAATGAACCTGATAAACAACAGATAAAGTAAAAGGTCAAAGTAAAGTGAGAATAGCAACCCAAGATACAACGGGAGACCCTTACAAACTTAATCGGTAGGCTGCAATAATAAATAACAAAAATACTCTAATCTTAAACAAAATAAATCAGACCATCGCTACCGCCGCATCAAAATAAGGCCCAAAATGAACCCGATAAACAACAGATAAAGTAAAAGGTCCAAGTAAAATGAGAATGGCAACCTAAAATACAACGGGAGATCCTCACAAACTTAATCAGTAGGCTGCAATAATAAATAACAAAAAAGACTCTTATGTTTTCACATTTTTAATTGGTCGATAGAACTTTCATTACAACCAAAATTAGTATAAGGCCAAAATGAACCTGATAAACAACAGATAAAGTAAAAGGTCAAAGGAAAGTGAGAATGGCAACCCAAGATACAACGAGAGACCCTTACAAACTTAATCGATAGGTTGCAATAATAAATATTAAAAATACTCCAATCTCAAATAACATAAATCAGACCATCGCTGCCGCGGCATCAAAATAAGGCCCAAAATGAGCATAAGGTCCAAAATGAACCCGATAAACAATAGAGAAAGTAAAAGGTCCAAGTAAAATGAGAATAGCACCCCAAAATACAACAGACGCTCACAAACTTAATCAGTAGGCTGCAATAATAAATAACAAAAAAAGACTCTTATCTCAAACAGCATAAATCAGATACGTGGCACATCTCGTGACCAATCGTAATACTATACTAGAAAACAAGATAAAAAAATAAAAAAATAAATAAAAAGACAAACAAATCATGGTCAACTTCCTTGTCGTTTTGGTTGACTAGTGTTTTCCTCCTAACAAATTAGTTGGGGCGCACCTGCCATTCACCTACATTATTTCTCTTCGGTTGAATTTCTGTTCTCAAATCACTTTAAATTGCAGTACAAAACGCGACACACAAACAAATCATAACCACCACCACCAGTCGCAGCTGCCGCCATGGGAGACGTCATTGTACTGTACGCATCTCCAGGGATGGGGCACATCGTCGCCATGGTGGAGCTGGGCAAGTTCATTGTCCACCGCTACGGCCCCCACAAATTCTCCATCACCATTCTCTACACCTGCGGCAGCATTGTCGACACCGCTAGCATCCCCGTCTACATCCGCCGCATCTCCCACTCCCACCCTTTCATTTCCTTCCGCCAATTCCCTCGCGTCACCAATAATATTACCCGAAACATAAGCGTCCCCGCAATCACGTTCGACTTCATCCGCCAGAACGATCCTCATGTCCGCAGTGCCCTCCAAGAAATCTCTAAATCCGCCACCGTTCGCGCCTTCATCATCGACCTCTTCTGCACCTCCGCTCTTCCCATAGGGAAGGAATTCAACATCCCAACATACTACTTCTGCACTTCTGGTGCCGCAATTCTTGCTGCTTTTTTGTATTTGCCCAAGATCGATGAGCAAACCAAAACCACCGAGAGTTTCAAAGACCTCCGCGACACCGTTTTCGAATTCCCCGGATGGAAGTCTCCTCTGAAGGCTACACACATGGTCCAACTGGTGCTCGACCGGAACGACCCTGCTTATTCGGACATGATCTATTTCTGCTCACATCTTCCCAAATCCAACGGAATCATCGTCAACACGTTCGAAGAGCTCGAGCCACCTAGCGTCCTCCAGGCCATTGCTGGAGGCCTGTGTGTTCCTGATGGGCCAACTCCGCCCGTGTACTACGTTGGTCCATTGATTGAGGAAGAGAAAGAATTGAGTAAGGATGCAGATGCGGCCGAGAAGGAGGACTGCTTGTCATGGCTCGATAAGCAGCCAAGTCGAAGCGTGCTGTTTCTCTGTTTCGGAAGCATGGGATCATTTCCGGCTGCTCAACTGAAGGAGATAGCGAACGGGTTGGAGGCGAGCGGGCAGAGGTTCCTGTGGGTGGTGAAGAAGCCGCCGGTTGAAGAGAAATCAAAGCAGGTCCATGGAGTTGACGACTTTGATTTGAAGGGTGTGTTGCCAGAAGGGTTTTTGGAGAGGACGGCAGACAGGGGGATGGTAGTGAAGTCATGGGCGCCGCAGGTGGTGGTGTTGAAGAAGGAGTCGGTTGGTGGGTTCGTGACACATTGCGGATGGAACTCGGTACTGGAAGCAGTGGTTGCGGGGGTGCCGATGATTGCTTGGCCGCTTTACGCGGAGCAGCATATGAACAGGAATGTTCTAGTGACGGACATGGAAATCGCGATCGGGGTGGAGCAGAGAGACGAGGAAGGTGGGTTCGTGAGCGGGGAAGAAGTGGAGAGGAGAGTGAGGGAGTTGATGGAGTCGGAAGGAGGAAGAGTGCTTAGAGAGAGGTGCAAGAAACTTGGGGAGATGGCTTCGGCTGCTTTGGGAGAGACCGGTTCGTCCACCAGAAACTTGGTCAACTTTGTTAGTAGCATTACATAACCGTGCAAGTTTTGGGTTCGCATTTCGCATTTGGATTTCGAGAGGAGTCGTGTGCAAGAATAAACCCTCTTAACCAACTCCGCGATATGGTTTTCTGTTACTTAGTTTGGCACCTCGTGGGATTTTGGTGCTCTCTTTTGAGAGTTTTAAGAAAGCATCAAACTATTCGGATGTAATGTTGATGTAACGTCGACCATCAGCTTAATTCCAACCAATAAGATTATGTACTTCTTTCTTACCAAGTCCTTGGTTAGCTTAGCTCCTTGGTCGATTTTTCACACCACACCATGTTAAACTTGTTAACTTATTAGCGCTTGAACGTGTATAATGCAGATGCCGAAACCAACAGAAAATCGCAGTTCATCCGGCCTAGACGTCATTGCAACTGTAAACTCCGCAAGTCTAATACAAAATTTTAGATTTATATACTTACCACTTGTGACAAATGAAATGCATATGAAGTTTTCTTTTCTTACTGAAATGAGGATCACCATGTGCATTTGTTCTGCATCCTTCCCGCAACTCATCATACATTCCTTATTCATCTCTCATTCTCCCTCGTATTTGCTTTTTATATCTAACCAAAACATGAAAACTAAAAACTAAGTAGTTATCGAGCAGACCGTACATTACTTATTCTATATGGATTTTTATTCCAAACTTTGTGCAATTTGCTGAAATTATCAGAAATCATGTAATAATGGTTAACAAATTTATGTTCATGTACGAGCTAACAGCTAGCGTACACTCTCGTCTATACATCAAGCTCCAAAAGAGTAAACTGCCGTTAGACCTCCTAAACTATTACTCTAGCTGAAACTGACCCTTAAAACTATTTTTTTTTTGGTAAATTAACTCCCTCAGCTATATGAAATTAGCCAATTTTAACGCCTCACCATCAGATTTGATGAAATTCATCCACTTTGCCGTCAAATACCAGCACCTGATTTAGACTTAGGGTTAAGTCATGCCAGTATTTGATGGCAAAGTGGATGAAATTTCATCGAATCTGACGGTAAAGGGTTAATTGGCTGATTTCAAATAATTCATACAGTCGATTGCACTTAGTGGAATAAGGCTTCGTTGTGGTATTTAAAACAATCATCAGCCATATGCAGGTTGATAGTCTCTCACCTGAATCCTCCTTTATTCCGATGACAACATACACATTGAAACTCAATATCACTATGCTACAAGGTAACTGAAGATAATTATCGCTCTGAGAATTTCACAAGCGATTTACTAATTATATAGCTCCATCATGGAACAGAAAACTTTATGAATATAAACATCTAGATACGCACAAGTAAACGTTACAGATGCATACATGAAGCGTGTTAAGAACAAAATAAAATAAAAAATCTTGCCATTCTAATGTACAACTACAATAATAATCTGTTTCCTTGGAAGCGACAACAAAATCATACCGATTGAACTTTTCCAAGTGGAAGCAGCTAAGCGCGGAATCATGGAATCTAGGTATGGCACTCTTACATCTATATATTGCAGAAGAATGCAACATAGAAAATGGTGTATCTCTCAATTTACAAGGTAAGTCTCTTAGGAATCGTTACCAACATGCCACCAGCATGATGAACCTTGGCTGAAATTAATATATCTAGTAATTACACTAAACAGTACGACAGTAGGAGGCATTTCGGGTACCTTCTGATCATTCTTTAGCTATGCATTTGCACCGGCGCTGATCCTCCGAAAGTTCCTGCCATGTTTCGAATTTTTTAGTATGCATCTTCCCTTCAATTACCTCAATTACACCGCAGACAGACATAACATCTTATTCAAAAGACGCAGCAAGAAAGGAAAAGCTAATGTAAATTTTTTCCGTTCAAATCTTTCCCAAGTGTGTCCTCGGAGGAATAATACCTGAATCTGGCTCTGAAGAAACTTCACATACTCCACTGCCTCATCTAACATATCGGCAGTATTAGTTTGCTGCAAGGAAAATCAACAGAAGCACCCCACCAAACAATTGTAAGCTATTGTCCGCTTAGTTTCATAAACACATGATAAGTTTTGACAAAATTCATATACACAATTTTCAGATTTTGAAGTTATTCAAAATATCTTCTTGTTTCTGTTCTTTGTGCAAAGTTTTAAGATAGTTCTACAAATTCTAGGGTTAGGGATTCTAAAGACACAGAGTTTTATACAGAAATGTTTTTTGGTCACCTGGTCAATAAGGAATGCTTGGTCATTCACCAGGTGATCTTACGAGTGATTTGCCCTTGTAAGCCGTTCAAAGTGTCATAATACTGTTTAAATTACGCATCGAAGCGAAAATTATCTTAACCTAAAACACCTTTGAGCATAACTGAAAGATGAAAACTATGTTTATTCAGGTAAACGAAAATAAAAGTACATTTGGAACAATGCACTATGCTCTCTGCTCACAAAGTTTATTTTGAATTGGTTGAATTACTACACCTCCATACACCAAATTAACCTTGGTTGTCGTCAACGACTCCCATCTCATTAGAATCAACTCCTGCATCAACTTGGTTGCGCCCCACACCCTCGAAGAACTCAATCCGCTAAGTAAGGAAATCAATTCTTTTATCCAACTGATCATCAAGTCCAATCAAACTTTCAAGACGACCAGGATCAAGAAAATTCTTACCTTCCAGTTCCGGGTATTCAATCAAAAGCAGCTTCTCATCAAGTTCTTGATTCTTAAATCTCACTCTTTCCAATTGTCTGTTCTGCTTGGATATATTGTTCTTAAGAAAGGATTCTTGATCCAGTTTAAACTTACCTTGCCTTTCTTCAGGTAAATTCTTGATTTTTTCGAGTACATAAAATGCTTCCTGTGGAGAAGGCCACACGTCCACCTTGGTATCAGAAGTATCGTAAATAACAGCACATGCAATAACCCCGCATAAAGTTGTGATCTCATTCAGCTTTCTGAAGAAGCTAGCCTTCCTCTTTTTTAAGGTTGCTCTCCTGCTTCGTTCATGAGAAATCAATTCATGCTTAGTCCTATTTTTAGCCATGGTTGGGAATACAAAGAAGCAGCAGGTACCTTCCGGAAGTTGCACAAGAGATGGTTATATAGGTAAGTACTTCGGTGGCTGCAAGGAGTCAACTCAACTGTAATACTGCTCTTAACAGTAACATCTTCACGGATATAGGTATCACCTATAATTGGTCAGGAAAAGAGTAAGTATGGTATATAATTGAATAGGATTACAAAACAAGATTTTCAGCATTTAATTTGTCAACCGAATTCAGTTGGAAAATGACGTTTGTATTTCATTTAAGAGTAAACAACCTTCTAGAAGGATATTCAACATACGACTAAGATTATTTGCATGACCTAGTGCGTTTGTAGAATACACAATACTTGCACTAGTGCTGGTAATATCTACATTAGATCATTGTTGTACAATACTCTTGTATAACCAGCATAAGCCTTGTTTACTAGATTAAGGTACTGATTATTACCTTCATGACGAAAGTTGAATTATTTAAAATCTCGTTATCCACTCCAAAAACTTCGACAATGTTTTGAGGAGTTCTGTTTTCTTTTTTAAGCAGAGATCTTACAAGTCTTACATGCTGGTTTTGCATCCTAAAAATCCAATAAAATTAAGTAAATAAGAATTAGTGTTCGGGCATGTTACTTAGCAACTAATAAAACTTTACTTCATTGAGGGACTACATGACATGGTGAATTGGTGAAGTGAGGAGACATTGGGGGAATGGCAAGGGGGGATGGGGCATGGGATGTTTGGAGTGGGCTGCAGAGAGAGGAAGCCGAAAAAGAGAGATTTTGTTTTGTTTGTTTTGCTTTTCATTGTTATTTTCTTTTGCTCTTCTAATGCATGGTGTTCACTTTATTTTCAAAGGCTTATGCATATTATAAAATCTTTTTCCAAGTGGCACAAATTTAGAGTCCACATAAGCGTAAAACGTGGGATTCACAGTGTCCACGCAGACACTAAAAAGACTTACTAATAAGCTAGTTAATGGAAGGGTCAATTTGTAGGTTTTATTTTATTTCGGGCATAAGTTTGAAAATGTGAAGGAGTACCTTGGAAATGACCCAAGAGTTTGGGGAGTTTTCTGTAGTTGATCCTAATAAAAATAGAACTCTAAGAATCAACAAAAAAATAAAAATTAATTAAAGAAGTGAATTTCCAACCCCTTGCTACACCGATTTATACTGATCAAAGATTTCAGTTAAAAGTCCAAAGTAAATAGAGAACTATCTTAGCCAATAAAAGTTACCTGAAATATAGATGAGTTTCTGAGGTCAATTGCTTGGCTTGAAGATCAATCTCCAACAAGCGTCTCCATCATAAACAATATGGACCTTCCTTTTAACAATCATAACTCATAGGAGGAATTGCAACTGATTTGGCATCTTAAGGAAAACACCATCTCCAATTTAGGATTTTTGAGCAAAGTTGTGTAATCTGAACGAGGAAGAACAAAAACTGATACATTTAGTAAAAGTTACCTGCCACAGATGGTACTGTTCCAAGGTCAAATGCTTCTCTACCAAGCAGTCCACCAATTGCTTCTCAACCTAGCATGTCCAGTAATAAATGGAAGTGCTGGAAGAGGAAACATGATGGAATCGTATAACAGATGAAGGAAAGCTAAAAAATCAATTCTGTAAAGATTTAAGGAAATATGTTTCTTTTGGGGGGAAAAACAGACAAGGAAACAATTTCAAAGCATTTAGGGTTTTTCTTATTGTGTTCTAATAATGGTCTCAATTCAACATAATGAACAAATTATATAGTCTTGCACTTTTTTCTACAAAAATATTTCCTGGAAAAACTAAGAACTTGTTGATATGTTAAAATAAATATAAAGTTAAAAGTCTACTCATAACTTTTTAGTGTACTATTTTCTATCGAAACAAACTGAGCCAAGGCAAATAACTTTCTCGCACTTTCCATTATACTAAATTTAAATCATTGAGATCAGTAAATTATACCTCAATATGCCAGGCTCCTTTGACATATTTGTGTACCGATGAGTCCAAACATGTTTCCCATACGATGTTTCCAAATCTGTTTTAGCTTCGTCCCATGTACCTTCTTCCAAATAGGATCCATTTATTCTCTGTCATTGAGTTTTGACTGAAGGATTCTTGTACTTCCACAAGGGAGCATTTATCCAGGTACCCAGGTATAATCTCAATTCTCAATACATACACAATGCGGCTACCAATAATCTCTACAAGAACAAGCACCATCTCTGAAATGATGAAAACGAATAGGATCTCTTAGGATTATTTCTCTTTTTTCCACCTCAGAGAAGAGCTTCATTGTTGTATGACAATCATAGAAGACTCCCAAATTCTTCATCACCCTAACTGGAGCTGATGCTGGCAAGCTGATAATTCCAAAAGTTACAGCTAACTTTTCACTGTGGTAGTTCACTTTGCTGTCCTTAAGTTTCGGTTCAGAAGTAATCAACTTACCAACAATACAATCTATTTTCTTTATCTTATGCAACATTTCTTCCAACCGAGTATAAATTAATTGAACGATTTGGTGAGACCGATCGCCACTAACAAAAGAATGAACTTTGTTTCCTACCTTTATCCAACTTAGACCAGGTTCCTTCTTAACTCCTCGATTTTTCATCAGTTCCCTAATTCTTTTGGCCGGTAACTCTATCCCAGCATCATTGTAAATGTTGTACAGAAGAACATATGATGCAGCAGCCTGAGGTTCAAGATCAATTAGCTTTTCTGCAACACGTTTTGCAGCAACAGTGTCCATATAAACCCTGCAAGCACTCAACAAGGCTCGCCACATAACTGGATTATCCTCAAAAGATGAGTTGAAAATGAACTTCTCAGCATCTGCTAGCCTTCCTGCACGACCTAGGAGATCAACAACGCAGGCACAGTGCTCTACATTGGTTGACATGTCATAATCTTTCTTCCTTGTTTCAAAATATCTGCATTAACAAGAAGAGTCAAGAAATTAACACACCCTGGAAGTGAGCATTTAAACTGCATTCACAAGTGTTCATTTAAAAAAAACAAATATTGGGTTGCAATTGAAAAGGCTTGACGTGATGACCTAGAAACAACAAAATAAATTTCAAAATGGCATATCTCTCCAAATGATTCCTATTCAATTATAAATTGATTCCCAGCCGTTCAAGACTACAAAACAATACATTTTCCTCATTACATCTAAATGCTCTACCCTTTTTTTCCCTTAATTACTTTTTAGATGGATTACCTACGCTATTGTTAATTTCAGTTCCCGGCAACTTATCACCTTGTACGTTCCCAACCAAGTCCCAAATTCAGGAAAATTGCTTACTGAAAAAACTGAAGGGCAGAATATTAACCATTGGTGAATTGTGAACAAAAAACAAGGAGCGAGAAGCATAAGATGAAGTTTGTTTCACTTTCAAAAAGATTTGAACTAAAAGAAAGAACAAGAGATGTGTGAAGAAGAAAATGGAGGGAAATTGTTTATGTTACTGTATTTGGTTCCTTGAAGAATACGTAGGGAAATTCTTACAAATATACATACTTCGTATCATATTTCACATATTTTTCCCAGAAACTTTGAGAAGGAAAATGGAGTTATTTAATCTTGTTTCCTTATCTTTACGATTTTTATTTCAAATCAAACAAAAGCAACGAAATTTAAATTTTCAGTTTTTATAACCTACCATAAACCTTCTTCTACAATCCATGACTGCATGCAATCAGAACTCCAAGGAAAGTGATGTGGTTGGGTGCAATTCCACAAGTCTTCATCAACTCAAAAAGATTCAAGGCTTCATTTGCACATCCATGTTGTGCTTTGCTACATATCATCACGGACCAGGAAACCACATCAGGATTCTCTATCTCTGTAAAGGCCAAATTAGCAGAATCAATATCTCCAGATTTTGCTTACATGCATATCTGTGAATTTTGAACAACAGTGAATTTCCCGAATCCAGCTTTACAGCATATCCTTGAATCTGCTCTCCTGATCTTGCTGCAGCCAAATCAGCACACGCACCCAGCATGCTTGATATTATGAATTGATCAGGCTTCATTCCAAATTCCAAGAGTCTATAAAATAAATCAAATGCACTTTCAGTTTCCCCATTTTGGAGATAACCTGCAACCATGGATGTCCACAAGACAATATCTAGCCTAGGAGTTAAGTTAAAGCGTCTCAACGCATAATCGGATAAACACACAGAAGAGTAGAATTCAATAAGCCCACTTCCAATGAATTCATCTCCTTGTAGGTCATACTTGTAGACTTGAGAGTGAACTTGTTTCCCATACTTAAGAGCTTCAACCGATTTACAAGTTCTCAATATGATTGAGAAAGTAAATGTTGATGGCTTGATTCCTAGCCTTTGCATCTCTGATAGAAGATTGAACACTTCATTTGCATGTCCATAAGAAAAGGTCTCTATTTGGAGGAACCCCGCAATCATGACATTATAGAGAACAACATTGCGGTAAGGCATGATTTTGAATATTTGTATCGCCTCACCTAAGCCACAAGTCTTTGCATACATATCAAGCAATGCTGTTCTTACTACAACATCCAAGTCCAACCCCAGTTTCACCGTGTATCCATGAAGTATTTTCCCAAATAGTCCTGAATTGTCAAGAATTTTGCCACACGCCTTGAGGGCACTCCCCAGTGTATAGGTATTCAAGCTCAACCCGCACTGATGCATTTTCACGAGAGTGGTCAATGTTTCCTCGTTAGCACCAATTCGAGCATAGCAAGCAATCAAGGAATTCCATGTGACATGGTCCAAGTTATCCGAACTCTGAAACAACTTCCTAGCATGATCAACTCGGACGCACTAGGAGTACATATCAATAAGAGAATTAAACAGAACAACTTCTGAGCCCGATCCATTGACGACTATCAATCCATGAACCAGCTTACCCAGCTCAAAATCACCGGTTTGACCACACACACTCAAGACACCAGCATAAGTAAACCTATCAAGTTTTAAACCAGCCATTCTTGCTTCGTTAAAAACACCGATT